ATAGTAAAGATAGGATAACAAAGTAGGTCTGTTTATCTGGTTTGGACTGCATCCCATATTAATAATTAAGGAAGTCATGATTACATTGTCATAATGTGACATGCTTAACAGTGTTGTACCACTTGAACTGAGGAAGTGTCATACTTTTTAACATCACAATGCATTATGTCATACCAAGCAGTGTTTAGAGACAGATAACACCTGGAACCCCTTTGCCAGCCCAGAATCTCGACTTCAATCTAACTGAATTATTCTGGAACGTTTTAGAAGACTGTCTGCAAAAAGAGAAACTTCACCATGCTTGGAAATGCTTTGCAAGAAGGTTGGCATATGTTCCACAATTCATGTAACATTTTCTTGATGACAAGTGTTAATAACCAAGTCCAGATTGTAACAGACACCATAGACAGATCCTACTCCATAATAAAATGGATGCAAACAGTAAAACAGGACAACTCTTTCTTTAATGCATGTTGTCACAATAGTTTGACTTATACTATATACAGATGATGAGTACATCACATTAAAACAATTTTGGAGCCTAACTACATTGTTACAGTCCATGTCACCAATAGCAATAGCCCTGCAATTCTAAAAGCCTCCATCATAAGAATATCATGTCCAAAACACATCACCCTTCTCCAAACAAAATGTCCATAAACTATTTAGTGTATGAACACGTTGGTTTATCCATACCCATTTCAGCAATCCACTCACAAAGAAATCCATAGGTACTGTATTCGACAACTCGACCAGTAAATCAGGAACCACTGAACATCCACTTCATTCTCTAACTTCTTGAGGTATGCAACAATTGAAAAGATATTTTGCAGAAATCACTCGTGTGCACGTGACTTGTGTGAATTTTTTTCAGGAGAAGATTCTTATTGATTGTATTGTATACACGTGAATGGCTTTTGTCACCGAAATTTGTGTTATAAGACTTTACACTTCCCATGACTGGGATACGATTTGTTGCAGGTCTTTTTCTATATGGTTTTGGTGCTTCATGTTGATTCATATTGCTTTATTTTGCAATACCATTAAGAATGATGGATATCCCCAGCTTGGGAATTCTAAATCTTCGGTTTGAACACACCTTTATCATCTCAGTGTATGAATAATTTATGCATGAAAGGGCTATTACATACCCTTTCGAAAAAAACGACTAACTTTGGGTAGCATCACACTATTTATGTAATATCAAAATGGAGTTCCAACAGATGCCATTCCATCGCGACTTTACATTGGGTGTAATTGTGACGTGACTTATTGATTTACATGTTCATTTTTTTATAATAAAAAGGAAAAAAATAAAATTTTAACGGAAAGTAGACATCGTTGGTTATTCGTAGGATTGCTATAAGAAGTATCCAAAATAAAATATATGCTGCAATAAAAAGTACACAAACAAGTAAAGTGATACAAGTTGGATAGATTGTGGTTTTAATTCTTGTTTCATTACTTTTTGTAGCAGGATCCCTACTTCATTTCAAAATTCATAATTTTTCAATACACGTTTATTTACATTTTATGTAATACCTGTATAAAGTATATACTTTACCTTTAGAAACCGTCACGTGACTATCCATTGATATGTAGCGCCATCTGTTGGGTTATATTGGGTTGAAAAGATATTTAAATTTAAGTACGTGCATGATATGTTTACCATTTATAAAACAAAATATGTATATATTTAGCAAAATATCAAATAAGCTGGAGAAATATTGTAGGTAGACGTGAATTCTTTGGAAACTTTGTTGATCCCTACTATTAAGTACTACCGCACTTAATAATAACGTTAAAACTGTCATCAAAAGTGTTATAAAATGTAAACAATTGAATTGAAGGCTGCTTACGTTTCTTAGCTACAAATACATAATTCTAATCCTAGAATATGTAGTTTCAAGTAACGATGGGTGGTACAATTTCCTATAAATTTGATAACATTTCAGTTTTATTCAAAAACAGAGGAACAAGAGATAAAATGTTAAAAATTAACGAAGTAAAAATCTTAAACAAAAGAATTCGAACACAATACACCGAATGCAAGCTGCTCAAAGTAACAAATGATTTTGAAACTCTTAACAGTGGATATTAAGGTTCCCGTAAAATACATCAAAATCTGTATGTAGTACAAAATCACAAGTTACCTTTCTTCTTCTTCTAATATCATTGATTTTAAAAAATGACGATTTAAATATTAGATATTCAATAAAAAGTTTGCTAACATTATTCATGTATTTTCAAAGTAAAACACTTTCAAATGTCTTCTAGTGTCATAAATGATATGTGTAGTAACAATCAGTAACACTATTTAAAATATGACGTTGATATGCCATTACATTATTAACACAAATACTAAAACAGGAATTTATATTTAAACATTCAGTCCAGGAACAGAGGAATTCTTTACGTCAACAGTATGTAGAAACAAACAAACAAGAAGTCGTAACAAACACAACTTAAAATATTAAACCTTGTTCCTGAAACAGATAAACGAAAACAGAATGCGAGGACTAAGTCAAAATGAATGAAGAAAACGTAAGACAACTAATAAGACAAAACAACCATAACAAAAAAGCTTAAATAACTTTTACCAGAATAACAAGCAACGGTAATGGAAACAACTACTAAACTCTTAAGAAGCTTAATATATATATAACAAAAATTATGATTCAACCTGGGCTTCAATTATTGCTAGGGGTTTAAATATGTGTGAAATAATAACCATCAACACCAAAGTTTGCAGTGATCAAGACAATTTAAAATACATATGGTGAAATGCACTTAAGTTTACTTAGTTCCAGTACAGCTTTTCGTGTTGTATATGGACGTTTATGTGCATCTATTGTTTTCCCTCAAATCAAATTTCTTATCTCAATACTAGGGGCTCGAAATAAACGTAACTGACGCTATCGCGTATCAGTATTTTTTGTAACCGAATAACGATGAGTTTCGTTGTATTTTAAAGATAACTTTTACATGGCTCCATAAAGAGTTGGTAAGTATTGGCATACTCTGTCGACGATTCAATTAATAGGTATTCAGTTTACTAACGCATGCATGTATTTTCAAAGTAAGATAAGACACTTGCAGATGTTTCCTAGTCATAAACAATAAATGTAGTAATCTAGGTGATTTAATAATTGCTTTCACAACTTTGATTAATGACACACAATTCCTTCAGGAAAAACAAAAAACCGCCCACCAGCAGATAGTGGGATCAAGCTAACAATTTCGTGCAGATTTTTGGCACTAAGCTCCAATTTAGGTAAATCAATAAGTTATAAATAAGAAACCTTTAGATTCATCATTCAATTGTGTCATTTATTCCTACTAAATTCAATAGTTATTTATAATACAATTTCCAATCTGCTCAAGAGAAGTTAACACAAGCACTTGTTTTTTAAATCAGTGTGGCCAAATGGTTTGAAAGAAATAATAATACCATAGCTGTCCTCTTTTATTTCAATTTTAGCGTTATAGTTAGTTTTTGTCACTCTCGCTCCACGTGGAACACCAAATATATTTCTATATATTACTTCACATTGAAGCGTTTTATATTTATATCAGGAAATACTGCAAATAATGATCGCGTGAACTCAATTTTACTAAAATAACTTATTTAGTTATATGACAGATGTTTTTTAGACGTGTGCGCTAATAAGATAATTATAGTTTCCGACTGGCTTAAGTCCTTTTGGTGGTGATATCAAAAAGTAGGTGACAGGTCCGTTTCATAAACAACAGGATTTATATTTTGTAACGTATTGTTTAACAATGATATGTTACTGAAATATTACTTACAACTTTGTGCAAACATGCAATTCATGTCTTATTAAACTTGGGAAAGGTGATTATGATGATAAGTCTTTCATGCGTTCGTTCTATTCAAATTTTCGTAACTGTGTAAAATATCAAGTATATCACTGTATTGTTATTGGGCTGTTGCTTCTTATTTGCTTTGTTAAAGAAAAAAAAAGCAAGTTATTTCTAAAAATGTTTTATCTTAGTAGCACTGTTTTAATCTGATCAATATTTCTTACAAATATCAATTCCAAGCATACCGTTTTTTATATTCTTAAGTCTCTCGTTAAAATTCCAAATATATTAAATAATAAAAACTACAAAACATTCAAATAATCACAGAATTGATATGACATTATATTATTAACACAAATACAAAATATAGGAATGTACATTTGAACACAGAGTCAACTAGCTGAATGAATGCAGCTATGCTAGTTTTCCTATTTAAGACTGTTTTGTTACATTTGGCATCGAAAAATCATTAACTTGTCGCTTATCCTTATACAAGTTTTTTTTGTAGGAGTGCATCATTTCAGATTAAATTAGCTTATATTTTCTTCGTTTATTTTCTCTAATTGAAGTAGCTGAATCAGCATGGGGATACAGACAAGGTGGTCACGGTGAACAATGTTTTTTAATTGACACAATGGAGAAACATCTTTCTCGTTATGCCACTCTTGTCGCAAAATAGCAAGAGCTTGATGGAGACCTGGGCCAAGTAGGTTCTGCAAAACTATATAAAGTTTATCCAAATACTTCTTCGCAACACCTTTGTCAGTACTGCGAATTCGAAACTTCCACAACAGATCTAGAGTACAATCTTGGCAATGACTCTGATGAGGACAGCTTTCTAGGTTAGCCTGTTTGTCCTCAGATTTTCCATCTAATGTTCCTTTTACGCATTCGACATTCGACTGTGACCTTTGCATTTTTACAGTTTCCAAGTCAGTTCTTCCTACATCATCATCATCTTTATGGCTACCTTTAAACTTTAGAAAAACGTCGTCATAATCTTGCTTTATGCCAACATAAGTATTTTTTTCGTGATCCGAGGAAGGTTTGTCGAGTGCAAGCTTTGAAGAATTCAATTGGTCTGGCAGAATATCATTAGAGGCACCATCACAGTTCCTTTCATTTATTACACATTTCATGTTCATTGAAAGATTTGAAATATTATTTGATTCGACATTAATTCCTGTGTTGTTACCCGTTACTGTCTCTCTTGGTATAGTATAAGTTGAGGAAGAAATTCTCGTATTGCTATCAGTTTGTACTGGTGATAATTGAGAATCATTCTCAGTTTCATCGTAGACCTTCCGGGCGCCATTCAAGTTATAATTGGAAGTGCACCGAAAAAAGTAACAAAATACCACAACTTAAAGGAAGCATAATCTTCAAAATAGTATTATTTTAATACATTTAATTTGACACAATCACCTCAAATACTCTTGATTATATACTATCATTAATAATATTCGTGGAGAACAGGAACTGGTTAAAGTCAGTTTATTTCAGTTACTAGATCTAACTTCGTTTGTGGTCTACTGATCAGTTGACTTTCCTTTATTCACTAAGCTTACAAACTATAATGGAATCGACTGTCACTTTTATAACGTGTTTACAGCTGAAAGTGCGAAGCGTATTCAGAAGCACAAAATTTCGAACCCTGGATCTTTTAATCCGCAGCCATACACAGCCCAGTTTTCAGAGAAAACATTAAAATAGGCTTCAAATAAACACGTTTTAATTATATTAGGAAAGTTTTATACATTTCACAGACAGCTCAGTACAGAAGTACTTATTTGATAAGGTTTGGGATGTTGCATCTCAGCTGGAGTAGCATGACACTTAGTACTAGCACGTTACTACTAAACCAGTATGACGATTAGTTGCATCTCAGCTGGAGAAGCATGACACTTAGTACTAGCACGTTACTATTAAACCAGTATGACGATTAGTTGCATCTCAGCTGGAGTAGCATGACACTTAGTGCTAGTACGTTACTACTAAACCTCTATGACGATTAGTTGCACCTAAGTTATAGTAGCATGACACGTAGTATTAATACGTTACTACTAAACCTGTATGACGATTAAGTTTGTATTTCATTCATTAAACGTTCAACAATACGTACCCGTGTATCCAATAAATGTTGATGTTTGTGACTTTAAAAGTTGCCGTTTAAATGTCAAAAGCTGACAAAGCATTAGAAACCAATAAGCCTAAAATTTGTGATAAAAAGCATATAAACTGCAGATTCAAAATGAGAAATGTGTAAGAACATTTTAGATCTATCTTTAGTCCCCCATAGTCACTATCCCATAGGCCATTCGTTCAATACCAGAACTCGTTAATTGGATAACAGAAATTTTATCCTACACAGAATTACTTGTTTCCTCATGCAGGCTTTTGAAAACATTAATCTATTTCACTTTGTGGTATTTACTAACTAAACAAGATTACATCCGTGAATGATATACTTTTATTTTAGTATTTGACGGTAGGTGTTTCTATAATATCAATGCACTTATTATGAACGTGCCTACTGGCCTGTTACCAACATATTAAAACTTACCGCTTGTCCCTTCTTTCGAAACTTGACAGACTTTGCTTCTTCAGCTGTTATATAAAAAATACCGCTATAAATTAATAGGCAGTTGCATTGGCTACGTTTAATATCTATTAGAATTTTTTTTATTTTACGCTGCTATCATAAATGCTACCCGGTAGCTCAGCGGTAAGGCTGAGCGCATATAATGTTAAAATTCGGAGTGATGGATAGTGTACACCGTGCAGCATTGTTTCTTAATAACAAACAAAGCTATCATAAACGAAATAATTATATATCTTTAACCCGTTTCTGTATACCATGGCTGACGTTAGTGGTATCTTTTTCGTCACAGTATAAATTCAAACAATGTTCAGATAGGGAAATAGCTTACAAAAGAATTAAATTCCTGCCTTTGCAAACTGAAACAGAAGCGCTCCTCCTGACCTCCGTGCGCCGCGAGATCTTACTTTTCGGCTGACGTGTGTTCGTCACACCTGTACTGTGTCTTCTTATTTCGCAATCCGCTCCTAATGAAGGATTTGGGGCGCCACCCATGTTCAGTCCCTAGCAAAGAAAATGAAATAATTCTTACTTTTTGAGATTAAAATTATTCATATAAATTACCATAAGGTCATTTTTACTCTGATATAGTGTCATTACAACTTCTACTATGTGTTATCACTATCATACCAAGCACGTAAGCCTAACTAAACAAAAAATCATTATCCACACCAATACTCTGTTACTTAATTATTAGGATGTTTATTTTGGGAGAATTCTGGAAAATGAAACAAAAACATCCATGTACAAGTATTATAGCCATAAAAGTAAATATAAAAAAGCTGAATCTTGAGTTTTCTACATTCATAACTTATGGGCAAAGATGGAGTGGGTGGATTAAAGGACATAGTGTCTGACTTGATAATATGCAAGTAATCATTTGACAATACCAGACCCCACTAAAAAGCCTGTACCGTTTATTAAATTTAACAAGTTGGTTCCCGTTGCATTGCACTTTTTTTTCTAAAAGTTTACACCTCTATCATCCAAATCTTTAAAAAAAAAAACGTTATATCTTGATTTCTTTTTTGAAACTGTCAAATTATGAGCTTTACATAATTGTATTTTAAACGAATAATCTTTCTTCTGTGCATCCTCAGTGTCTATTAATTTAACAAATTACAAAGCTTTTCATAATATGGTATAAAACTGTTGATAAAAGTAGGAAAAGTAGGAAATAAATATTTTTAAGTAAGAAAAATTCAAGTCTCTTTGATTTAGTTTTCATATCTTAAATTATACATGTGTAGTTTGACAACTGCAGTTGAGAAACTACCATCAAGATGTTTTTATTATCTTAGTTTTTCTGTACACAAGGGAACTCTTTAAAGGATGTCTATAATGTTAGTGACATAATCTCGCTTTTAGGAATTATAGAAATGCATCTTGAAATCGGCTATGTTTAAAATGTCAAATCCGTTAAATTAGCTTTATAAAATGTTATGATCAAATATGTACATTTAACATTTTTATTTATGCAAACTTCCGGGAAGTATAAAGCGAGTTACGTCATAAATAGAACTGTTAGTTTATGAAAAGAATAAAAACTTCAAATATAAATGTTTCATTATTTTGGTAAATTAACAGCTTCATCTTATTGATATATATACTCGCTTTGTTTTGACCAGAAGCATCTGAATTAGTTTAACAGAACTGGACTGTGGTGAACGATACTGTAATTTTATTTTTCACTTCAGAGGCGTCGCTAGGTTCTTAAGATTCAAGGTTCTGGCCCATAGGCGCGAGAGTTTTCGGTGTTTCAGTGTGATATAGATTATGTTTTTCTATTCTGATTTTTCAATACACCGACTGAGGATTCGGGTCACGGGCCCCGTGTGCCATTGCCTAGCGACGCCTCTATCTGACTTACAAAAAAAAAGGAAGATTTTTTGTTTTTCTTAACATTGTCTGTCTGAATAGACCGTTAAGTAATGGCGTTGAACTTAATAATAAACTTAAAATGTTAATTTTAACAGATCTATTTACATAACATAATATGTTTATATAAGTTACTGAAAAACTGGCATGCACACCCGCAAAGTAATACGCCAAAATTCATAATAGCCTGGCAGCGATGTTTAAAAAAAAAGTTAATAAAGCCATTAGGATATTATTATTACCTCCGAAATGTTATCTCGGTTCCAGTAATGACGAGAAAAATAATCATATAAATGGCACTGCATTGCGGGTATGGCCAAGATTTCTGACGCGGAGGGTCGTCTATGTGGTTCCACTCTTAACAATACAGATATGAGGTCACGAAGGAGGAGGCTATACTGACTGGATTAAAAGTAAAGATTATATTTAAAGCTTTACATAATTCCTGTACTTCCAACACTCAACACATTTAAAACTATACAGTCAGTATTTAACGTCCAAATGTATTGTACTCAAACAGTAAGAGACAAATAATTGAAAAGGCGTACAGCTCCAATTAACAACATAATTCCATATACAGAGATGTTTGAGTAATAGTAAAGTACACGCGTAACTAATATTTTCAAGCCTATTGTTTTAATTGTCTTCCATATATAGTTACTTCCATCAACAACCTTTTTCCTACGTTTTATAGGATAGTGTTTTGAACTAAGACAAAATCAACGCGTTACATGTTCGCTCATGAATATCACAAGCTTTGGTAAAGATGGAGTACAAAATTTGGTTATTCTGATATAAACATCATAAGATCCACACATCATTCAAAATCGTAAAACGGGCAAGACTTGTCACAGCAGTAAGATCCCACTGTCACACAGAATCGTTATAAGAATGTATTTGTTCTAACAATGCGATCCACGTGCAATTAAGAATTAATATAAAACTAATATTTCCACAGTGTTATCAAAAAATATTGGTAGTTTTGGTTTTCTCAATATTAGATCAATTTAATAGTTAAAATAAATTCTAGTTTAATTTTATCCACACCGTATTATTATATAAAACAAACTTAAGTAATTCCTTTATTCCGAAATATTTACATTGAACTAAAACTCCGCTTCTGTTTTAACTTACCTTGAGATTGGTTCATACTTGCAACACAAAATAGACATTAGCAACTCTTGGAAAGTTCGACCGTGAAACGGATGAGATAAAGTCGACATTTCGTAGAGAACACAGCCTAGGGACCACATATCGCTTTTATGGTCATAACTGCAATAAATTTCTCAAGGAAACAAAAAAGGAATAATCTATAATGTATTGAAGTATTGGTTGTCCATTTATTTTGTATTACATTGAAGTTAGTCTAAGTGAGGAAAAGATATTTCATATCAGCTCACACATACACACAAAGATAAAAATACAAAACCAAATAAACTTAAGAATGGGTTTTAATTTCTGTAAACACAGTGTTTAAATTTACTACGTTTTACTTATATTTATAGGTGATGACAACTGTTAATAGTACCAATATGCAAGTCCATATTTTCGTTGGAACGCCAAGGTTTAATGCATTTATGCGTTCAGCAAGTTATACAACAATATGGAACATCAGAGGGCACCACAGTAAATACAAAAGGAATGATAGAAATGCATGTAGAATATGATATCGATCGATGTCTGATCATCCCTGGTTCGACACCAAAATACCTGCCACGACATGACATTTAGAATAACTAGTCAACTTCGGGTTTTTTTGTGTAGTGCAATGCAACAGTCTTACGTAGTGGCAAGATAATAAGAACAAGTTAATAATGGCTGGAGACGGCTTAAATGGGTAATGAAGAAAAACTTTAATACAAGTTTAACATGACAGCAAATGTACAACGTTTCGACAAGGTTTTGTCATCACCAGACAAAACCTTGTCGAACCGTTGTACATTTGCTGTCATGTTAAACTTGTATTAAAGTTTTTCTTCATTACCCATTTAAGCCGTCTCCAGCCATTATTAGTCTCAAAGTGGGTTCCTCGTCATCGAATAAGAACAAGTTAGTCGAAAGCGATTATTGAATAAACGAAAGGATGAT